TGACCGTCACTGTTGTCACCTTCTCCTCGTTCTTGCATTCTCTCGTGTTCTACTTCTTCTGACATTTCTTCCGCACAGTTTTCCTCTTCGTCTTACTCCTGAGCTGTGGTTCGTAAATCGTATGACCCTCTGAGGTCGATTGCTTCAGGACTCCTATCTTTTCTGTATATTATTCTTTTCTTTGTCCTCAGTTGTTGACTCTGTGCTTTTTCTTCTCGTCTTTTCTTCTGTGGCGCTGTTGGAGGCTGCCGTGTCCCTTCCGCAGCAAGGGAGTCGCGGCAGGTAACTTGTTGTGTGCGAGCAGTTTCCCACTCTGCTTTTTCCTCGGCGGGACAGAGAGCACAACTTCTGTTCTACAGACTATGTTCGTCTCCCGTCTCTTGAATCGGGGAATATCCCTGATGGTATGTCTTTGCTTGACAGTCTTCTGGTATTCCTTTGCTGTCCTCTCCCCCTTCTTTCTCCCCCCTGTGGACTTCAAGGTCTTGCACAGATCCTCGTACCTTGGCTTCGGAGCCATTCTCTTCGCGCTTATTAAAAGTCTCTGACATGGATGAATTCACAAACACTCACGTTAGACATGGAATGATTTTATATTATATAACGACCATTTGTCATCCACCACCCCAGGCGAGATTTTCACACGCCGGGAGAGAGAGAGAGAGAGAGAGAGAGAGAGAGAGAGAGAGAGAGAGAGAGAGAGAGAGTTTTTGCCGTTATGACACGAAGGACGATATTTTTTTCTTTATTACATCACGCATTCATCCATCGACTGAGCGCAGAAGTTGGCTACTGCGTGCCGATTGGTTTCTCTACAACGTGTGAGGTCTGTATATTTGCACGCGGTTGTCAACTTCGTGTTTCCTGATCTCACGGTTTCTATCATGCCCTCGTATTTACGAACATCCACTCCGTGTTCCGTCTATGAGATCTCTGAAAATATTTTCTATGTCACATGCTGCTGCAGTGTTATATCCTTTTGCCTCGACAGCACGCTGCGCAAAGCGCTGTACCATTGACTGACGAAATATGTCGACCATTTGGTCGTCAACCTCCATCGCGCTAAAAACTTCTGTTGTATATTTTGCGGTAATGTTCGTTTGCTTACTCAGTTTTGCTAGCTTTCGCATCAATTAAGCTGCCACGCAACAAACATAAACACCATAGTCCGACGTATTGGTCTGTTGTGAACATTCAACGTACACTATCTTAGATCCAAGTAGATCTCTCCATGTCACCCACGACGTCTCCACTGTGTCGGGAGTCAACACCCCTGCTTTGTCTGCCTCGCTGAGGTATTCATACCACAAAAATGTGTGCAATGCCTTCCATTCCTGTCGGCCACTCTGTTGAAAGGAATCGATGACGATCGCAACAGGTCGTTTCTGGCCATCGTTGTCCTCCGTGACTGCCAAAAACTGGCCGACATTCAGTAGCAAGAGCAATTTCCAATGGTTTTCGTGATTCACAGGGATGAGAACAGCACTTGTTGTTCGCAGTTCATTGCTTATTCGACGCAGCTTTGGCGATGTACTCTTGATCCGCCCCTGCCATCCCGCTTTCACGACATAAACCTTCTGATTGGCGATGACTGCGGGGTGCCAGAAAGATGTGCAAACATGAAGTGTCATATTGTCTCCGTCTGGAAAATGTTCGTCATAGACGGACTGTAAGTACATATTGATCACGTTATCGTTCAGCCACTGGTTGGCACCCAATCGCAAAACGTCCCGTTTTGTTATCGATATGGCATGTCTTCTTGATTTTCACGTGAACGGGAACGAGTATTCCTCGTCCACCCTCTTGGGTCTCTTTCCAGCCTCTGCAGTCATACCCGTCGACTGATTGCCTCTTGCAATATTGAACAAAGGTTCATGCACCATCTGAGGATATTGGGCGTCATCTGTGGTCATCATCTGATACATTTCCGCATACCAAGGGTCCTCCAGTATCCTCTTTCATCGATTCACTGATCTCTCACTGCTCAATGGGAGCAACGGTTCGGTGACAGTTGGTCCACATGAGTGTTCGTCATTCCTTGCTGTTTCTGAACTGTCCGTCGCTTTGGAGCCCATGATACAACCGTTGCCATCTACCCCCTCGTGTCAGTCTAAATCGGCTTCTCAGCAATTCCTCAATACGCTTATTTTCCGGCTTGTTGTCTTGCCATTTCTTCCAGTGCAGATTGTTATTGTGGCGTTACCTCAACCTCAACCTTTCCTGTTCACATGGCAGTCACATGGCCATGAACCACATCTCGTCAGTAACTTGGCAAGTATAGACATGGGTTGACTAGTGCGTGCCACCTCCACTTTTTAAGTCCACGTTCGCCATACATGTGCACGCAGTAGTCAACTCTGAAGTTACCTTTGTCATACACACTAGTTTGATGCACCTTTCTCTAGATTGCTGTGTAAGATGACACAGAAGCTATGCAACAGTGGTCTGAAATGCAGGCTCCGCGCTCGAAAAGTCTACCGATGTTCGGACTCCATCTTTACCAAATGACTATTGTTGTTCAAACGCTTCTCTCTCTCTCTCTCTCTCTCTCTCTCTCTCTCTCTCTCTCTCTCTCTCTCTCTCTCTCTCTCTCTCTCTGTGTAAAAGAAAAACAAAAGTTGAGTGCATGCTGTAGTATAACATTGCAACTGCGCCCACCACTTATTGTTCTCGGAAAAACGATCAGCCTTTTAATTTTTGTTTTTTTCACAATGAGTAATTCCCTGTACACTTCTAGAGTACATATCTATTCAACAAAAAATTGTCCTCCCTCTCTTTTGCATGCTTCTTTGAGCCCCACTGTGGTTTACAAAAACGAGGAACAATGTGAACGGTGTCAATGATGGTATCAATCGTTATGACGCTACTGTGCTGATGACCGTTCACCTTCTCTCATTGCAACTTCTTATAATCTATTGTGTGTTTCCTTTCGCTATCCACGTCTTTGTACCATTGCACGAAACAACACTTGTGCATCTCTGCAACACCTCCTGTGCAAGCGTTCATGACGAAAAACATGGCTACTGATGCATACCATATGTTGTCATTGCCACGTCTCACTACAACATCGCTGTGCACGGCTCTCCCGTGGAACTGTGGTGAAGCTCTTGCCGTCTGAACGCTTGCGCCCCTGTGCGTCCCGTCGTATGTGCAGGCGATAGTCAAGTGTGTTCGAGTGTGTATGACTTGGTCATCAGATGGAGGTTGACAACCCATCTCTGTCATGAACGTCGTAAGTGCAGCTCGAAAATCCTCTACAATAATATAATACCATTGTATTCATGAGAATTGCAAAAATAAATATTTAAAAATAAATATTTAATAGATATACGCATTAATTTAATTGATTGATCACTTAGTAGCCAGAGGAAAAAAAAGCAAAAGCGATTCCCTGAGTAGCGGCGAGCGAAATGGGAGAAGCCTAAATCGTTTATTCAATAAGTAAGCGAGGTTATGGGAGAGTGTTTGTAACTTTATCTTTCATTCTTGTAAATAATAAATGGAAATAGAAAGAAAAGATAATTTCAAAGTTCTCTGTCAATTAAATAAAATAGAGTGTAAATGGACTTTCTGCGGGGAAGCTCATTAAGTATTCTCAACGCCGCATCGCTCATACCCTCTACGCCTGGCAAATGCACATCGTCCATCTGGAACCACCGGAGTTGTAGAGTTGTTGTGTCGCCCGCTGCCAGGGTATTACTTCCGGTGGCCATGCACTCTATCACGGATGACCAATTTTCTGCCGACATCTTCCAGCGTTTTCTCACACTCTCCATCTCTTTCTGCAAAGCCAATGAGCGTCGAACATGATTCACCATCTGGGAAGCAGCCTTACGCTTGTTTGATGACAAATATGGCTTTTTGCAGAACCTCTGATGATTATGCTCCCACACATCAGCTGCGAACGTGTCGGGAACACCAGATCGCTCTATGCTTGTTCTCAAATGCATAAGGTCATGCAACTTCGGAATTTTCCAATCAGAGGTTTGATATTTTCCCATCTTCATTTTTATACTAGTTATGAAATCACCTATCAATGTGTCACAGACATCGAGAGAGGACGCTGTGTGGGTTGACTTACGAAACCCGTGCATGTACATTTCCATGAGTTTGATGAAACAAGCGGAAATGGATTTGCCTGTCACACGTGGGATGATATCACAAATAATAAACACGCAAACTGTCATAACAAACCGATTTTGCTTCGCTTCAAATCGTCCTTCCCTTGAAAAGAAATCACAACTTGTGGCTACGAACAACACAAGCTGCGGGTATGTCCGTGTGGATCTCTCACTGATGCTCTGCAACCTCGCATCCATCTCGTGCAATATCTCACTTTGCGCGGTATCTGGCAACTTCTTATAAGCAGCTGCCTTGAATGCATTTATCATATGCAAAAAAATGCCGTGTTCAATGGTATGCATACGGTCTGGTTGCAAAGCGAGATGGTAATCTAGTTCAGGATCGTCACCATGCGGACCCCTGTAGAATCCCCATAGGCCGTTCTCTTGAACATGCTTATGCATGTCCAATTCTTACATTCGTGCCTCAGCAGCACGACGAATGTCGTTGTCCCCACTGTTGAAGCAGTCCGCGGCAAGTTGCGTCTCTAGCGTCTGCGATCTCCTGCAGTTGGTGAAATCGGCGATGACATCCAAATCGTCTTTGGACACTGTGCATGTTGGACAAACACTGAGTTTCACAGTTGCAAGGGCACACCTTTCAGGATAGTCCTGTATATAGTTCATGATGAAAGGGTGCACTGTTATCTCACCGAACCGTTCCGTTGTTACCATCATGCCGTCATGGGATGCCTCCTTCGCGGACTGCAATACTGTTGACAACGCTTTATGCAATATCACAGTTTTTCGTTTTCTAAACGCGGTGGAGTGCGGACCCCAGCCCTTGTCACGTGGCCGATGTTGAAGCACTGGAAGATACGCAAGCAGTGTGGCATCTGATGGGCGATGGGCGATTGACATCATCAGAGGATATGCTGTCTGCTTTTGACGACCGTCTACATGAGTCTTGTCTGAATACAGAGACAGAGGGATGGCATAACGTGTTCTACCATTCGTGTTCACACCCTTGTCCGCTCTGATAACAGTTTGGACATGGTGACTCAACTGCCCCGTGCGAGAGTCGTAAATTTCGATGTCCTCCCCGGGATGTTGTATTTCGAGGCAAGACACCGTTTCAACGTTGTTAGTGCAGCACGCACGAGATCAGCGAACGTTGTGCGTCAGTCGCGGTACCACAGAATGACATGTGCTTCTTCGGGCCAATCATCACTGCGTAGATTCTTCTCTTGCCACCCTGCAGCTTTAGCCTGGCGGACTGCCCATGTCAGACACTCACGACTGTTACGAAATGCGATATCTCTAGGGTCAAATCTACAATTTTTTAGGAGTGACAACAGACAACCAACTACAGTTTGGGACATGCCCACACCGCCCATACACGAGAAAATCAATGCCGCTAGTTTGCGGGAGCTGTCGAATGCCTCTGCGTGTTCGTCTTGCTGTTCTTCAGATGCGCAGTCCGCTTGTACATCAGGAGGGGGCTCAACCTCCTGGCTTTCCCCACTGACCAGGTCAATGGGACCACTATTCGACGGTCCACCGTTGACCTCCCCAACTATCTCTTTTGTCATGCTCCTCTCTTCCACAGTGGAGGGACATGCCCGCGCTCGGTGCTAGTTCATCGTCCGCAATGACATGAAAGACCGGCCACAGTCACACACGTGATTTGCGTCTTCCATTGCATCTACGTGCGAGGTCTTACGAATTACTGTTAGTTAAGACCTACCGCCGATAGAGGATGCGTATTTGGTCCCAAATTCATGCGTTCCTTTCACACTCCCCCCTCCCCCGTTCCCCCTCTACCTCCCGTCGACTGAACACCGCTGCTGTGCACTGCTCACAGATTCGAAGACAACGACAACATTCAAACTGAAATTAAAATCAGAAATTGTGGTGAATGTTTTGCTTTTTTTTTTTTT